AGGGAAACGAAGTGAACGAAGAGAGAAATATAATATTAAGGGGTTATGTAAAAATGTGGCAAATTTTTGTTAGTGATTGAAGAAAAAATTATATTATTACTATTATTACTTATATTAAACGGTGGGCACGATTCAGCCTTTACGAGTGTTCAGAAACCAAAATTTTTTAACACTTTTTGGAATCATAGTTCCCGCCTCGCGAGGGTTTCTTTTTGGAAAAAAATTGCGGCAATGGCAACAAATTGAAAAATAGGATCGTGACTTTCATTTCCAACAACCGCACATTTTCTTTCGTTAATCGAAAATGGTTCAATTTATTTAAGAAGCCCCCGTTAGCCGGAAACGAATCTTATCTAGAATATGTTAATTGGACGAAGCACTTATCATGCCCACCATCTTGAAAAATGCAATTTCGAGGAAAACGCGTTCAAAATTTTGTAACGATGCCTGTATTTGTATAACTCGTTTGGTTCAAACGGCTGTAACTTGGTCAATAATTCGAATTTCGAGTTAGCTTTGCGCTTGAAATATTTCTGCGATGTGCACCTTTTAAAATACTCGCTAAATCGGCTTTTTGAAATCCAGAAATGTATGTGATTCCTTAATGTGTTTAAAATAGACACAATTAGCAACTTTCTGTGAAATTATTTTATAGAACAATGTTTAGGTTTGCTTTGCAAAGAATATTTGTATCGCAATTTAGCTAATTAATTATGTTCTTTTTTAGAATGCACCGGTATATTCTACGAGTTTCTTTTTCAAAACACCAACTTTATATTACACTCGTGTCCATATTATGTTTATTCCACAAGTGACTTTAAATTCAGTCAAGGAAATTGCTTTCCATCACTCAAGTAGTACGTTTTAGAAAAAAACATTTGTTCTAGAATGCAGCTTATAAACGGAAGGTATTAAAAAATCTGTTGCAGCATGGAACGAGACAGGATATGACGGTCCTTATCCTTTCACCGAGGCAGAAACAAGCATGATTCTACCAATGGTTTTGCAGTATTTGACACCAGATTTCGTTTCCTTTTTTGGGTTAGGCGCAGTATCAGCAGCGGTGATGTCTTCAGCGGATAGTAGTATCCTTTCGGCTAGTTCCATGTTTGCCAGAAACGTTTATAAATTGATCTTCCGTCAGAGGGTAAGTCCTTCGTCTTTATGTAGATGGTCGGCTTCTTTTGTTTTTAACTCTGTGCCATATCATGCATTAAATCTTTCGACATTCGTTGTCTGTCATCGCTTCTAATTTTATTTGACATCGAGTGTCGCACGAATTATCAATATCATATTCATCATAGTCATCATTGTCATCGTCATCATCATCATCATCATCATCATCATGCGCCCTTCGTCTTCAGACGAAGACGTGATTGCCTATGCAAAATGGTTACACGATTATAGCGTGTTTTATGAATATAGTAAATTATTCGACGATTGATTTCTCGTCATTCCTTAAAAGCAAAAATGTACGCAAGGAGAATCGTGGTTTGTACGAATCAATGATATGCGGCTCGATAAACAAGGTGAAATCAGGATTAAGAGAGCGTTCTAGGTATCGAACATTTCCATCGGAACGATATAAATACGACTGTACAATTTCAATATTGCGTTCCCGTACTTCGTTTAACACAGATTCTTGCAAAAGTACAATTTTACACGTGCATGAATTTGGATCACGCATTTGTCGGAAGGATATAAAATTTGTTTAATCATTTCTTTATACGTAAATCCAAGCGTATGAAAAATATCCATATTTATCATAAAATATTCTTTGATCATCCATTAATAAAATTATACTCGTTCGTATGTCACGTAACGACGTTTCGTTGACATTGTCTTCACGTATCACAACTTTTTATCTGCTTCATACATCCTTTACTATATCGCGTCCACTTCCTCGTACGATACAGCCGATCGTAGCAACCGAATCGACGTCCGCTCTCTCTCTACTAGCCAATTCCCCGTTAAACAGGCGTCGGAAATGGAGATCATCTGGGTGATGAGAGTGGGAATAGGCGTGGTCGGCATATTGAGCACGGTGATGGCATTGACGATACCCTCGATCTATGGCCTTTGGTCGATGTGCTCGGACCTGGTCTACGTGATCCTCTTCCCTCAGCTGTTGATGGTGGTCCACTTCAAAGAATACTGCAATACTTACGGCAGTCTAACCGCTTATGTAATAGCTTTCGTTGTGAGGATCAGCGGTGGCGAGCCACTGATGGGTCTACCTGCGTTGATCCACTATCCGGGATACGACGAAGAAACAGACACCCAGGCGTTCCCCTTCAGAACGATGGCGATGCTAATCTCGTTGGTGACATTGATAGGCGTGTCGTATGGTACACAGGTAGCCTTCCTTACCGGTAGGCTAGCACCTGGATATGATGTCTTTAGGTGCGTGGTCAATATACCGGAAGACGTTGAAAGAGTCGGCCCAGATCCGGCGGAAGGTGAACAAATGGCTGTCCTGGCTGCCGGTATTGGTAGACTTTACGGTAGTAAGGACGAATCGAACGGTCGAGTCAATCCTGCGCTCGAACCGGACTACGACATGGAGCCGGGATACAAGATGGTTGGGGAACCGGACAGCGTCGTTGGCGGAGGCGGTGGTGGCAGGGGTGGAGTTCACCTGGTGCCCCATGGACCGAACGTGCAACGACAACCGCAATCCAGCACCGCATTCTAATTCCTGGTTCCGTGATCGGATGCTGTGACCAACAATAAGTGAGGCGGTGCAGGTCCGTCTTCTGTTCTATTTCTCGTTTTCGTTTGCTCTTTTTGTTCTTTCGTTTGTCCCTCCTATCTTTCACCTGTTTTAGTCGTCGTTATAATCGTCTCGAAAGATTACTTTTCGTAAAATGATAGACGATCATGCTCAACGTTCAGAGAATAGAATGTATGTCAGGGTACTGGTGGTTTGTTTTCTTATTTTATCGAAATTGTCTGGTACTTCGATACAGCTCTTTTGATAAGATAGACGAGTATGTGTGATGACCCATTGATAACAGTTCTTTCTTATCGACCGCATTTATTCGTAGGATTAATTTCGTACTTAATTATGCTTCAGCATTATTTTCTTTTATCGTGTGAAATACATACATTTTGCTTTTTACCAGGGGATTCTGCTTTTCAGTTCGTTCAGTTTTTTCATGTCGTTACTATGCTTCTCTTGTATCTATCCTCCCTCTTCTCACGTCCGCGAAGCTCCGAAACAATGCCAATCTGCTCCAAGTTCTGCACGAATCTTTTTTCGTGATCGTGTTTATAATATGTAACTACAGTTCTATAGTGATGTGTACCTGTTTGAGTGTGTTCGTTCGTACTCTGTAATACTGAGAGCAATTGACAAAAAAGGAAATGTACAAAAGAGGTCAAATGAGCTAAAATGGAACTGGAAGTAAAGTGTTGTCACTCATAAAAATCGAAGCTTCTTGGACAGATAGGTGAGGTGACCTTTTGCCTGTACCGCCAATTAGGCCTAGTGTCTCCTTGTTTCCTTTTTGAGAGAGAGATAGGTGTGTATATACATATATACATACATATATAAATATATAAATATATATATATATACACACACACACACACATATATATATACATATAAATTATATTTACATATAATTTATATATGTGCGTGAACGTATATAATTATATCTAAATATGCTCTACATTTAGAGTTTATCAGACTGCTTGAGAGAACTAACATCTTGATGCGCAACCGATCCGTTCACGTTACTATGAAGTGTATCTCAGAGATCGTGAGAGCTTCAAGGGAAAGCAAGGAGCTCAATCGGTTCTTATACCTCGTTCATTAGACTGTCGGTGGGCAGGTTAGAGTTTATAGATGAACGTTATACACGAAGTTTCTAGAACGGAATTAAATTAAGCCGACCCGTTATTGTTTAGCCTTCTTCCGCGCGCATAGGTTTCATTTTCTCATCGTTCATTGTCATGTCGTTACACTAGAGTTCACAGTCGAATCTCGATGTTGGAAGTAGAGTTGAAAAAAATGAAAAAAAAACCAAAAAAAAAAACGACGAAAACGACGTTAACGAGCTTTTTGTATTTTGCGATCGATCGTTCTTTCCTTGCTTATCTCGAACGAGCATACAGACGATATATACACGTTCGTCTATACGTATCTACTGTTAAAAAAAAGTGAAACGAGGTTAGATGTTATAAATTAGCTTATCACGCATGGCCGCTCGTTGAGTTACTTAAGATTTCTCGTGGTTCGAGTAAAAAGGTGCAAGTTTAAAACGCTCTTGAACCCTCTCTATCGATAATGATGACAATTCGCAAAAAAAAAAAAAAAGAAGAAAAAAAAATGTCAAACTCTTTCAGTTATCTAATCGAACGTTTGATTGCTGTTTTAAAAGATACGCGTGCAATCACGGAGTAAAACATTTCCATGATCATTGCGTGTCAATGGCGTATGTTCAAGAATAATACGCGTTTCTCCTACTAATAAACGGATTCATTAATAACACTCTTAACTCTCAAGCACTATGTTTGAGTCAATGGAAGATTGTATAGACGGATCGGTTGCTGCACGGATTCGTTGTGTTTATTAAACACACGCACACACACAATGTATGATAAAGTTGAAATTATTGGCATTGAAAAGAAACGAATGAATTTGCATTAACGACGAAAACAGAGTCAAATGTCTTCATATACATATTGTACGTACACATTATATTAGATCATCTAATAAGTTCGTGTCGAATTTTATAATTTAGACCAATATTTCCGACAAACCTTTAAACTTGATAAAAAAGTCTTTTTCCTATTTTTTTTTTTTTTTGGCAAGACCGTTACGTCGTCGCTGTAGAATTTCCATGGATTTTCGTTCAAACACTTTTCGCATTCGGCCACGAACTTACGGGATGACCTAATACATAAACACAAGAAGATTAACGCAGTAGTTTTTAACATTGCAGATTCGAATTATCGCCGTTGTTGTTGATTTTAAAGTTCATTTATCAGATATCGTTTAACGTAGCAACATCATGTTGTCTGTCAAAGCTACGCGTTAACGCCTACATAGTTATTATTATTGCTCATTACAGTTACTCATCCCATTGTTTACCGCCAAAATGATAACGGAGAAATCGTGAGATCTGACCGTGTGTGTAATTGCGAAGCGAGTAGTCCTTAATTCGGTGTTCGAACTTTTATAATCTTTTCTCATATCCCCGAATTGTTCGTTGGCCGTTTTGATATTTCGTTGGATAAGAAATACTAAGAAATCAACCGAATAAGAACGTAAGCGGAACCTATTTGAAAATTTCTCACCTACCGTTTCCGTCAATAATTCCTACTTGTGCGTTGTATTTGTAAACACCGAAGTCACAAATATGTGCCTGAAAAGAGAAAGAAATATTATTGGCGCGCAAAATTTTCCCACTCGTCGTGAGGTTCTTTAGAGATTTCTAGGTTTTTTTATAACTAATGTTTCTTCTTCTCTGAATTGTACAAACAGCGCACATAACAAAATTATTTGCGAAGTGCTTGTAATTATTTTACAAAGTGGAACCGATCCATCGTTCGTAGCAAATTCTTTGTTTATCGTTATCGTTTGCTACGTCTCTTTTCGAACAGGGACAAGAAAGTGTTGCAAGACGGTTAGGATATCGTTGTTCTACACACGAGGTTCGAGTAACTTGTACAGTTGAAAGTAGCATATAGATTGTTCGTTCTACCTGTCAACTACTAGGAAGCATCCTTTCTTTCTCCTCGCGAAGCAACAATTTTTTTGAAAACAACGACAATAGTCCCGGGTACGGAGTAAGTCTTTTAACGCGTAACAATGCGGGAGGCATCTCTGTACGACGCTCGGAAGTGAAATTACATCTAGACAGATGACAGAGAAAAGAGGATATTTCACGCACATCGCGCCGCACTGTGTACACACAGACACGTGTTTTATGCATTTTTCATTCGGCCCAGCGCTGTCAACAGTTAAAGGACTTTCACTTAGGTATTAAGTCTGCAATGAGTTGGCTGGTTAAAGTGAACTGCCCGCGGACAATGAACAGCAGGAACTATCGTTATTATATTTTTCAGGAAGGCCGTTTTATAGTAGACAACCGCGTGCAGCTATCTTCTTTTTTACGATGAGAAACTAAATTAGACAACCGTGAAATGTTTCTTTGTAAATGATCGAAATTGCACGTTTGCGCAGATTGAAGGAGCAATTAACCGGTGCAAAGAATTCGAAAAAGGCTTCCCCGCGTTTTCTTGCTTTCGAACTTGTTACGCGTTAAATATCTTCTTTTTTTTTTTTTTCACTTCCACGAGACACTGTTGAATACATGGTACGATGCTGAAAGGTCGAAAAGGATGTTTAGCAATGTAAATATATTAATTCGCGGAATTATCGGATCGTTTCTTTTGTCGATATTTTCACTGTACGATAGGGTTAGGCTCGTAATTAGAAAGAGATACCGATAATACAAATTGTTATTTCTACGTCATTTAAGATACGTTCTCGATCATTGTTCCGATTGTTTAACCCTCTACTGTCGAGACACCGTTAAAGCCCCAATACGGAGTCTACGAAACTGCTCAACTTCCGGTTAGTTTATACATAAATATAGAACATTTCTGACAACTTTCCTTACCGATTTACCTTTATCACACCTTTTCCCAACGAACGTTATAGAATAGAGTGATTGGTTGGATTAATTTCATTTGAATATAATAACGTCGAGTTCTAAATAGAATGGAAGGAAAGGGAAAAGGTAGAATCAGCTCGACAGTACAGTGTTAATCTTATCGCGTAATTCAGTTTTTGCCTCGACGAAATATCAAGAGAAAGAGGACCTTCCTCGAAGGTAGCAGGTTAACGTGATAATTTATGCAATACTTCATTTTGTCAATTGAATTTGTTTAGTCGAGACGACGTATCGTATAAAGAGGGACAAGAAATTCGTAGCACGCGGGTGAATGTTATTACATAGATGCGTCCGTACAATAAGATCCGACACATTCGTAGTATATATATACATGTATATATATATAACTGTTAACCATGAAGCGGCCACGATTACTTACATATCAACCTAACGTGCATTGTAACCAGCGATGTAACGGGAAACTTATACATATCATGATGCGTGCTCTACATATACGTACGTATATTAGATATATTAGCGTGTAAGATAAGAAAAATGATATAAGAATGAGAAAAAAAGAAAACACATAATGAAAAAAAAAAGAAGATGTAAGACGTGTATATACGTACTATACATAGCGTGGTTATCCTCTCGTAAACAAAACGGATCGATGGGTTTGTAGTTCAACAGAATAAGAGGGACATTCGTCATTTTCTGCGAGCAACGAGTGTCCCTCTAATTTCTCTTTAATAACGAAACGTAGAGTATATCCAGCGATCTATCCAGAGGAAAAAAAAAGAGAAAAAAAAAATAAAGAAACGATACGGGGTTCGCGTGTGTATTATGATCGAATAAAATCAAGAGAAAATTTACGAATGACGGGCTGTCTGAACGCCGAACAAGAAAAGGGTTCAAATCGAGCTGGTTGGTGATACAAACTCGTTAATAATTAGAACGCAATGTTCTACAACTACTCGCCTGCTTCGAAACGGAATCGCGTACCTAATATTATTGTAACCTTCGTCCTATCTCGCAAATCTGGGACACCTACCTATTATAGAGTATTATTATGTGTAAAAACAAAAGAAAACGCCCGACTTACCCTGTAAGAGCATATCCATGTATATGTATTACGAAATCGTTACCGGTATTGTACTGTATGATATATAATACGTGTATAATTAAGAAACTGAACGCGATGTTGATTGTAAATGTTAAAAATAAAAAGTGTACAAAAAGCCAAAGTCTGGAATTTTCTTGTACGAGTCACATTCTTCGAACATGACGATGATCGCGACGGATGACGTTAACTGCAGCCAGGCGTCGAGTAAACGCGAGATTCGAATTGTTACGTTGTTTCGTGAAATTACATACTAATCAACGATTTATTATTTATTAACCCTTTCGCCGCGGCAGATTTTAGTATGTAATGCGCGTGGTAAACGATGTATGTTCCGTCGCGGCAGCAAAATCTTTCGTTTTGCCGTTTTAAAATTGAAAAGAAAATTTGTCAGTTGAAATTAGAAACTACGGTTTGAAAATTAATTTTACTGAATCAAGGCAGATGTACGCGAAAGACAAGAATTCACTATCAAATTAAGGTGAAAATCTGCCAAAGGGCGCCAAGGGCACAGCGCGGGCAAATTTTTAAAACGCCTATAGGCGCCAAGGGCATAGCGCGGGCTTTTCGAAACTCCTATAGGCGCCAAGGGCATAGCGCGGGCTTTTCGAAACGCCAAGGGCATAGCGCGGGCTGTTCGAAACGCCAAGGGCATAGCGCGGGCTGTTCGAAACGCCAAGGGCATAGCGCGGGCTGTTCGAAACGCCAAGGGCATAGCGCGGGCTTTTCGAAACGCCAAGGGCACAGCGCGAGGAAATTTTCAAAGCGCCTGTAAGGCGCCAACTGCAGTGAAAGAGTTAATCGTTAAAAAATTTCTGTTCTTCAAAGGAAACGAAAATAAGTATCGATTTCTTTCTGCAAACGTGGTATTGTTCGATGCTCACCCTACCTACATTCCTAAAAGAGAGTCGCAAATAGGTCAGGATGTATATACGTCCTTTTATTATACTACAAGCGAAGTTGATATAGGAGCGTAGGTCCTGATGTTATGTGTTTTTAGCTAGGTTGCGACAGAAATGGAAAGAGCTCTTATTTATTCATGTCTTCCCGGTGTTCGAGTTGGGGAATCGATAAATCGATCGACCGACGACAACACCGCCCAACTAACCTTATGACGAGTCCAATCGTTTCATGTGTACAGGGTGTCTCACGTAACTGAGCAAAATTATGCCTTTAAAATGATTAAAAGTAGAAGAGCATGTAATGCTGCTAGACTTTCAATATTTTTACATTACCTTTACACATATGAAAAGTGCAATTGCTCTTCTTTTTCAAATTTAACCTTGTGCTGATTTTCATCCCATATAAAAAAGTATTAAAATGCTCGTTAATGTTCCCAAGCTTTTAGTTTGAAGATTATTTAGATTTTAAATTTGATCTTTAACTCAGTTATCTCGCAATATCAGCACATTCACTGGAGACATACTGTTTCCTGTATACTAGTTAAAGCAAGACTAAATCGAAATAGTTTTTGCATAAAGATAATGTCTAAATTGAAAAAGTTTCAAACAATTCAATTTTATTTTACGACATTTCTTCTATTTCTAACTGTTTCAAAGGAGTAGCTCCTCCCAATTGCACGAAACAGACTGTACAGTTATTAGCTACGAAGGGTGGGTCATGTCGCGATTAACTTCTGCTTGAGATTAGGTCTCTTTTTTCAGCGTAGCGGCTTTATTAGTACAAAAAGCATTTTTACAAAATAAATAAGTTACAGGCTCTGAACGAGGAACGAATTTCCTTTCCGCCTCTTTTGCCTTTCCTTTAATTTCTCCGCTTGTTTCGGCGGCTTTCGTGCGTGCAATTTGCTCCTTTCTATTCGATGATACATATTGCCAGCAGACGTCTCCCTGAGAGTAAGTAGAAAGAAAGGTATTTGCATAGGCGCGTTCTATCATGAAACATCTATGTTTTCTGTGCTCCTATCTTTCGTCCGCTTTCAAGAGTACGCCTGCTCTGAAACACATTCAAGTTTGTTTTTCAAAGCAACGGCTGTTACCGCTTTGCTGTTAAACTTTTAATGCGAATCCTGGATGCTTCGGGAGTGATTTTGAGTTCGCGAGAATGACCTCCGATTCCGCTTCATTACTTTTCATTTTATCAGCAGATGTTGTACTGGTCCGACAAAGTTTGACGTTTCCGATGATTTTTCGATGTCTGGATTGTGGGGTGGAAGATGTCGAAGATGCGTTCGAATTTCTCTTATTCGTTCGATGATGCTTGATGACTGGTGAAACATGATCGAAGGTAGTCGCGCGAGGTAATTTTTTGCGATTAATATTGGTATCCTCCGTTGCTAGCGTAGCTCTGTCCACCTCCACCGCCGGAGTAGCCACCATTTCCGCCACCTCCGGAGTAACCACCATTTCCGCCGCCTCCGG